TTGAAAGCAAGTCCGCTTGAGCAAACTTTTCACCGCTCGAGCGGTTTGCGTGAATTCTGGCACTTTAAAGTCACTTTTTGGCCCAAAATCTTTATTCTTTCTTCCTCTTTTCTCTCACACTCCTCCATACCTGAAACCCTAGAGCTCCAAACACTTGATTTCTCCAATGTTTCCTTTAAATCCACCCTAGACCCTTCAAGAAAATTGAAGAACAACTTTAGTTCGAGATATCTACCAATTGATTTGCATTTTTGTTGAAACTTCAAGTGAGTTTCCATCTTAAGCTTCCATTCTTGTGATAGGGGTATCGTTAAATTATTATATCTTTATTTTGAGACTCACATGTGGTAATTTCATTACATATTCACCTTTGTAGATATATATGTGTGTGTGTGTATATATGTATGGATTGTGTTTGTTAATAAATGATTTGGATAGATGTGGGCAATAATTCATGATTATGGATGGAATTATGTCTATTATTGAGGATTATGGTTGTTGATGATGAAATTTAGTGTCTAATTCATGAAAGAGAAAAAACCCCTAATTTTCTACAAACCCTAGTGTTGAAACTTGTTCAATAAATAGGGATTTTGCTCAATTGATTTTTAAAACATGAAATTGGGTGTGTTTATTCAACTTTGAGGTTGAAATATCAATTATTGGATTGTTGTGAATTAAAATCATCCTAGGAGAAATTGAAAACTTTAAATTCATGCATCATATACATTACTTAATTTTTCTTGTGATACTAATGTGTATGAATGGTTGGAATAGTTAAAAAAGGGTTTTTGCCCAATTAGCCTCTAGAACCTAAAATTAAGTGTATTTACTTGACTTTGATGTTGAAAAGTTAGACTTCGAGACTTTTACACCAAAACTGGAGATGATGGTTATGAATTGAAGAATCTTCTCACTGTTGACATGTGAACTATTGAATTGTTGTGCATTGAAATTATTATAGGGAAATTGAGATTTGGAAAATTCATGCATGATAAACTTTTAAAATTTTATCTTGTGACTTTTAAAATGTTGGCGTATTGAAATAGTTGAAAGGGGGTAAATAGTCTATAAGTCCGGGTTTGGTTGAGTTGTGTAAAATAATTGGTACTTGCGCAGGGAGTTAAGGTGCCCAATTGCCTTGTTTGCCCATATCGTCGGACGAATGTGAGAAAATGTTTTTGGGTGTCCATGAGCCCGCCATTTCAAAAGTCGGAAAATGTGGAAAAACATGGTTTTTGGGTGTCCATATCCCCGCCGTTTTAGGAGTCGGCAAATGTGGAAGGGAAAAAGGTTTTTGGGTGCCTATCGCCTCGTCGTTTCTGGAGTCGACAAATGTGAGATTATTTTCAGTATTCAAAATCTATATCTATGTATGTATTTTGAATTATGGTTCTTACTTGGGATGTCATAGTATATTTACCACCCCTGCTTTTAGAGAATGATTATCTAATATCCTACACGGTCATTTAAACTTATAAAGAAGATTTACTTTAACATAATTTCTATACTTGCATAGCATGATCATGCATGTTTCAATTAATTATATAATTTGTTAAATATATTTCGTATTGAGCACTCGCTCACCTCAAAAACTAATCATTTTTAGGAAATGAAGTTGAGGACTTCTGAAGTGATGTGAACTATTCTTTTAAAAATTGGGTTGCCAAGTGACTGGTAGTTGTTTTTGGGGTGTGAATGTGATGTGAGAACTATTTTTCTAAAGGTTCTGGGTCGTTAGAGGATCGAGAGTTATTGTAACAACCTTGAACTGTGATTAGTCACAAAACCGTGCTTAAGAATGCTTAATGAATAATTAAGAAGAAAATTTGAGTTTATTGCTTGTGTTTTGTTTTAATTGTGCTTATATGGTAGGAATATCTGTTTGGAATTTTGTTTCGGTAAGCTAATTGAAGGCCTTATCGGCATTTGAACATGAAATTGACTATGTATAAGTATTATTTGGAATTTTTAGAATTATATGATAGGTTTAATTGGAATTTGATTCGGAATCAAACAATTAGAATTAAATAATCTCAATTGATTACCCTTAACTCAAGTTAATTAAGCTCCACTAATTGAGCCTATATAGGGCTAATTGATTCTAGAAGCCTTAGATACACTTCATTGTCATCATCTTCTCAACAAAAATATAGAGAGAGGAAGAGAAGAGAGAACATTGAGATCAAAGCTAGAGGTGGAAGAATTGTTAGGAAAATTGAAAGGGTTGGAAGGATCATACCAAGAATTGCTAAGATTCAAGAGAATTGAGAGCCTAGGTAAGAAATTCAACCTTGAATTTGAGACTTTAAGTTAGCTAACATAAGAGTTCAAGAGGATTAAGTGTTTAAACATGAGGATTGAGCTTCGAAGAGAGAAATAAGGTTGATTATATACATGCATGGATAATTCATGACATTTTGAAGTAGATTTCAAAGATTCATACATGCATGCATCTATCTTAGCCTTCTTTTGAGGATTCTCCATGTTTTCTATCAAATTATTCTAAGTTTGCATGTTTTGGAAAATTTGAAGCCATATCATTACATGCATAAGTATTATACAAAGTTTCAAGTTTGACTTTGAACAATTCATTTACTTTTGGGCCTTGATTTTGCAAAATGGCTTTCATCAATGATGTTATACAAGTTTAGACATGTTTTCTCGAGTTTTGGGGCCCAAAGGATGTGTTTTGAAACTTTGAATTTGGGTTTTGGAGCATGAAGAGCAATCTGGAAATTTCAGAATTTGCATTCTTTGCTCAAGCAGTGGAATCTGCGCTCAAACGAAGAATGTGAGCTCCCAGTACATTTGCAGAGTTGGGGGTTGGCTCGAGCGTTAGTACCTGCGGTTGAGCGGCCACTCTTATTTTTTAGCCCTAGCTCGAGTGACTAGAAGTTGCACTTGAGCGTAAAATGAGAGCTCCCAGAAGTTTTGCAGACCAAGGAGTCTGCTCAAGCGACCAAAGTTGTCCTTGTTTTCAGAATTTTGACTAAGTGTTTGAAAGTGTATTTTGACATCCTCATTGCATCTTAGGCATTCCTAAGCCTTTATTAAAACATAATAATGAGGATAAGGATTAGAAACACACCAAGATAGAAAAGAAATGAGTGAAGTGTTTTCTGAGCGTGTGTTTCAATATATATCCACTATATGTTTGTGTAGGTCACGTGCCATAGACTGTCTGATCTGTCTATTCTGACTGTTCTGCTACTGGAGCTATCTGTGAGTAATAACTCTGTAAAGCTATGTTTGACTTTAATTATTTTCGGATGATATGAAATGATCTGTTTCCTGAAATGATATTTTTTTGTATGGATGAATGATTGTCCAGATTTCTGAAATGTATTCGTGGCATTCTTAGCATCATGTGATATCTGTTATTTGCTCTGTATACGTCTCATGTAATCGTGAGTCAACTGAACATCTTATGTATTCATGAGTCAATTGTACATCCCATGTGATCATGGGTCAACTGTTATGGACCCTTATGAATGTCTCTGTGCACATGAGTCAACTGTTTACGTCCCATATAAATGGGTCAACTGTTCTGTTAGTGCTAAGGGATGTACTATGTATGATTATCTATGAATTTTGAATATGAATATGAATCTGTTTCTAATAAAAATTGCTTTTGATCTAAATTCTGATTTTCGAATCTGTTATGTGACATCATTTATTAAAACATTTACTTTGTTATTGCTCACTGGGCTCCAATTCACTATATTATTTATGTATGTAGGTGATTAGGCACGTGGCTAGGCTTAGTGATGATTGCCTAGAGATCTGTTTTGTCAGCCAACCATAGTGCCTCCCGAGAAGGTTTCCGAGTTAAAGTGTGGTCATGTTTCTACAAACAAGTTTTAAGTTTTTGCTTTCTTCTGTTTGTTTGAACGGTTTTTTTGTCTACTCTATATTTAGGGCTAAGTCCCTTTTGACTGTATCTGTAGTTGTGACGTAAGACTAATGTGAATATGACGTCACATATATGTATTGAAGTTGTAAATTTGCTATCCAATGTATGTTTGCATAGCTCTATGGACATTGTATTTGATAATTACTTCTGTTAGCCCCTTAATTTTTCCAAATCTGTTCAGAGGATTTTGGTAATCCCAGGATTACTAGTTGATTTTGGCTCTAAACCTATAGGGGCAGGTTTAGGTCGTGATAGAGTGGTATCAGAGCACATGTCATATCTCACACACGAGTCCATATGAACTATAGAACGTCCTAGAAAAGAATTAAGGACATTACATCTGCATGTGTGAGTGTGTGTGTGAACTATCTGGATATATATGAACTAAAGTGAAATGACATGAACATATCTGAACTGAATATGACCATTATGAAACTGTGAAGGTTATTTACCTATGTTTATTATTGTCTTGTTTATTTATAGCAATGGAAAATACAAGAAGTGATGGTACAACTGAATCCTCGAGTCTCAAATGAACCAAATGGAGCGAATGCTTGAAGCCTTAACAGAATCAATGATACAGAACAAAGATAGCAACCTTTGCCTCCTTCACCCCCTTTGGTTCAAGTAGACCTGGTCAACCACGACATTATTACATAGACTTAGAAGTTCAATAAAATGAAGCCACCAATTTTTCTAGGTGGAATTGAGCCATTGAACGCTGAGACATGGATGTTGGAGACCGAAAAGTGTTTCCTTGTTCAGAAACACAGAAGGTTTTATTAGCAACTCATACTCAAAAGGAAAAAGCTCGCCGTTGGTGGATGCTTATCTGAAATGACAATGGGGCCATGACCTAGGATCAATTTAAAGGAATTTTCTATGAGAAATACTTCCTTCAGTGCTTTAGAGACAGAAAAGTGTCAGAATTCGAGCAATTGAAGCAAGGTAACATGTCTGTAGCTGAATATGAAGCCAAATTTACCGAGTTAGCCCAGTTTGCTCCACATATGGTAGATTCCGATTACAAGAAAGCTCAAAATTTGACGAAGGCTTGAATTTTGATGTATTTGATCGAGTTAATATGTTAAAACTGCCCAAATATGTGGATGTACTTGATAGAGCCCTAATGACTGAAGCTGACCTAGCTGCTATGAAACAAGCTAAAGCTCCAATATCTGAATGGAAAGGCAAAAGATCTGGATTCAATTTCAGAAAGGGCCATTCATTTCCTATGACTAAGAAACAAAATATGGGATCTACTAGCAGTTCAAGTCAAAGAAGTGGATCCGCACCTGTTTGTGCTGAATGTGGAAGAAAACATAGGAGTGTATGTCATTGTGTATTTGGTGCCTATTCTCGGTGTGACAAACTTGGCCACGTGGTGAAAGACTATCAATTTATATCTGAAGACGCCAACCGTCTTGCAACATGTTCGACTGGATTCGCTTCTACATCGAGATCAAATATAAGAACTAACACCGGTAAAGAAACTTTAAGGCAAGGTAGAGTGTTTGCACTCGTGCCCTGGGACATCTTGAACACCAAGTCTATGGTGTCAGGTATACTCTCTATTTTTGCTCAGAATGTGTATGTGTTGATAGATTCTAGTTCTACACATTCCTTTGTGTCGCATACTTTTTCTCATAAATTGACTAGAACATTAGAATCTATGAAATATTCGTTATCTGTATCTACACCTTTTGGAGGTTCTATGGTGTGTGCTTATGTGTATCCTGTGTGTGACGTTATGATTGGGGGTGTGTTATTATATGTTGATTTGTTGCCCTTGGACATTGCTCATTTTGATTGCATATTGGGCATGGATTGGTTGACCAAGTACCATGAAACCATTGATTATGTAAATAAATCTGTTGTATTCCGCCCACCTGACTTGTTTGAATTTGTATTTGCTAGGAATGGGGTAGTTCCGCCTTCGTATATGATTTCTGCTATGAAAGCTGTCAAATTGCTTAGAAAGGGATGTAGAGGTTATTTGTGTTGTGCCTTGAATGTGACTTCCGATAATCCCAATGTGGAAACTATTCCTGTAGTTTGTAAATTTCCCGATGTATTCCCAAATGAATTACCCGGAGATCTAATTGATAGGGGAATTGAATTTACCATTATGATACTACTTGGAACACAACCTATTTCCAAAACCCCTTATAGAATGTCAACCTCTGAACTAAAAGAATTGAAAGTCCAACTCCAAGAACCGTTAGACAAGAAGTTTATTCGACCAAGCACTTTACCTTGGGGTGCTTCAGTTTTATTTGTTAAAAAGAAAGATGGAACCTTGAGATTATGTATTGACTACCGGAAATTGAATAAAGTAACTGTGAAGAATAAATACCCCTTGCCCTGAATAGATGATTTATTTAATCAACTTCAGCGAGCCCAAGTATTTTCTAAGATTGACCTTAGATCCAGTTATCATCAGTTAAATCTTAAGATAGAAGACATAGAGAAAACTGCTTTCCGGACTAGATATGGGCATTATGAATTTCTGGTAATGTCGTTTGGGGTAACTAATGCATCTGCAGCATTCATGGACCTAATGAATAGGGTGTTCAAACAATTCCTTGATGAATTTGTTATTGTATTTATTGATGACATTCTGATTTATTCTAAAAGCAGGAAGGATCATGAAAATCACTTGAAACTGTACTACAGACTTTGAGAGAGAAGAAACTATATGCAAAATTCTCTAAATGTGAATTCTAGCTTGATAGTGTGACATTTCTGGGCATGCAATCAATAAGGATGGCATATCAGTTGACTCACAGAAAATTGAAGCCATTATAAACTGGCCAAGGCCGACAAATGTATCAGAAGTCAGAAGTTTTTTGGGGCTTGCTGGTTATTACTGCAAATTTGTGAAAGACTTCTAAAAGCTTGCCATGCCACTCACTCAGTTAACATAGAAAAATGTACCATTTGATTGGAATGACCAAAGCGAATTTGCCTTTCAAGAATTGAAGACCAAATTAGTAACTGCACCAATTTTGACTTTGCCTAATGGTATTGATGGGTTCCAAATCTATAGTGATGCTTCGTATAAAGGCTTGGGATGTATGCTAATGCAAAACGGAAAGGTCATTGCCTATGCTTCTCGGCAACTTCGCCTACATGAAAAGAACTATCCGACCCATGACCTTGCAATCATAGCTATGGTTTTTGTTTTAAAAATCTGGCGTCACTGCCTGTATGGTACAACTTATGAAGTGTATATTGACCATAAAGCCTGAAATACTTCTTCTCTCAGAAAGAACTGAACATGAACAAAGAAGATGGCTTGAATTGATTAAAAACTATAATTAGCAGATTATGTACCATCCGAAGAAAGCTAATACAGTTGCAGATGCTCTAAGCTGAAAATCCATTGGGAATTTGGCATGTTTGCTTACCGGTCGAAACGAATTGTTGTATGAGCTGGAAAGAAATGAAATTGAGATTGTTTTGCATGAGCAACGTGGAATTATAGCTTCAATTTCTGCTCAGCCAGTCATAATTAAGGAAGTTAAAGAAAAACAGCTAGAAGTTGAATTTCTAAAAAAGATTGTTGATGAAATTGAATAAAAAACAAGGCCGAGATTTGTGTATAAAAATAATGTGTTGAAATTTCAGGATAGGCTTTGTGTACCAGATTATTCAAAACTAAGAAAGCGTATTATGGCTGAAGCTCATAACTCCAAATTTGCTATACATCTGGGGAATACAAAGACGTACCATGACTTGAAACAAAATTTCTGGTGGCCTGGAATGAAGAAATGTGTTGTTGATTTTGTAGCTAAGTGTTTGCATTGACAATAGGTAAAAGCTGAACATCAACGACCTGCTGGATTGCTCCAGCCGCTTCCAATACCAGAATGAAAATGAGAGCATCTTATGATGGACTTCATTGTCAGTCTACCTCGCTCTTCTAGAGGTATGGACTCTATCTAGGTAATTGTTGATTGTTTGACTAAATCCGCACATTTCTTACATGTTAAAACTTTTTATAATGCAGATAAATTGGCTAACATTTATGTGAATGAGATTGTGAGATTGCACGGAGTGCCAGTATCTATTGTGTCTGACAGAGACTCTAAGTTCACTTCAAGATTCTGGCAGAGTTTACAACAAGCTTTGGGGACTGAATTGAGGTTGAGTAGTGCTTATCACCCCCAGATAGATGGCCAATCTGAGCGAACTATTCATACTTTGGAAGATATGCTCAGAATGTGTGTGTTGGATTTCCAAGGAAATTGGGAAGCTTATCTGCCACTGGCCGAGTTTGTGTACAACAATAGTTATCACTCAGGTATTAGGATGGCTCCCTACGAAGCTCTGCATGGTAGGAAGTGTCGATCTCCAATTTTTTGGGCAGAAGTGGGAGATAGACCATTATTGGGACTAGAACTTGTGCAAGAGAAGACCGAGAAAGTGAAATTGATTCAGCAACGATTGAAAACTGCACAAAGCTGTCAAAAGAGTTATGTGGATGTCTGAAGAAGAGATAGATAATATGAAGTTGGTGACCATGTGTTTATTAAGGTGACTTCAATGAAAGGCCAGAAACGGTTTGGGGTTAAAGGCAAGTTGACACTGCGCTACATTGGGCCATATGAAATCATTGAGAAAATTAATCTGGTGACGTATCAAGTGGCTTTACCTCCAATCATGGAGCAAATGCACAATGTGTTCCATATTTCTATGCTTCGAGACAATTTGCGAGATTCCCTTCATGTCATTGAACCAACCCATGTGCTTTTGAAAAATAATTTTACTTATAAAGAACGGCCAATACAAATTGTGAATCGTCGGATCAAGAGATTAAGAAATAAAAAAAAATCCCATTGGTGAAAACTGGTTAGCAAAATCACGGAGGGACATATGCAACGTGGGTAATAGAAGAAGATATGATTAAAAGATATCCAGATTTGTTCCCTCTAAACCTAGCATTCTTCTGAAATGAAGGTAATTCGAGTTTAGAGGACCAAACTCTTTAAGGAGGGAAGATTGTAACAACCCCGAATTGTGATTAGTCACTAAACCATGCTTAAGAATGGCAAATGAATAATTAAGAAGAAAATCTGAGTTAATTGCTTGTGTTTTGTGTTAATTGTGCTTATATTTGTCTATGGTAGGAATATTTGTTTGGAATTCTATTTCGGTACACTAATTGAAGGCCTTATCGGCATCTGAACAAGAAATTGACTACGTATATGTATCATTTGGAATTTTTAGAATTATATGGTAGGTTTAATTGGAATTTGGTTCGGAATCAAATAATTAGAATTAAATAATCTCAATTGATTACCCTTAACTCAAGTTAATTAAGCTCCACTAATTGAGCCTATATAAGGCTAATTGATTCTAGAAGCCTTAGATACACTTCATTGTCATCATCTTCTCAATAAAAACGTAGAGAGAGGGATAGAAGAGAGAACATTGAGATCAATGCTAGAGGTGGAAGAATTGTTTGGAAAATTGAAAGGGTTGGAAGGATCAAACCAAGAATTGCTAAGATTCAAGAGAATTGAGAACCTAGGCAAAACATTCAACCTTGAATTTGAGACTTTATGTTAGCTAACATAAGAATTCAAAAGGATTAAGTGTTTAAAAATGAGGATTGAGCTTAGAAGAGAGAATTAAGGTTGATTACATACATGCATGCATCATTCATGACATTTTGAAGTAGATTTCAAAGAATTCATACATGCATGCATCTATCTCAGTCTTCTTTTGAGGATTCCCCATGTTTTCTATCAAATTATTCTAAGTTTGCATGTTTTGGAAAGTTTGAAGCCATATCATTACATGTATGAGTATTATACAAAGTTTCAAGTTTGACTATGAACAATTCACATACTTTTGGGCCGTGATTTTGTGAAATGGCTTTCAATCAATGATGTTATACAAGTTTAGACATGTTTCCTCAAGTTTTGGGGCCCAAAGGATGTGTTTTGAAGCTTTGAATTTGGGTTTTAGAGCTTGAAGAGCAATCTGGATATTTCAGAATTTGCACTCTTTGCTTAAGCGGTGGAATCTGTGCTCGAGCGAAGAATACGAGCTCCCAATACTTTTGCAGAGTTTGGGGTTGGCTCGAGTGTTAGTACCTGTGGTCGAGCGACCACTTTTATTTTTGAGCCTTGGCTAGAGCGACCAAAAGTTGCGCTCGAGCGTAAAATGAGAGCTCTTAGAAATTTTGCAGACCAAGCGGTCCGGTCAAGTGACCAAAGTTGCGCTCGAGCGAACTACCCTGTTTTTAGAATTTTGACTAAGTGTTTCAAAGTGCATTTTGACGTCCGCATTGCATCTTAGGCATCCCTAAGCCTTAATTAAGACATAATAATGAGGATAAGGATTAGAAACTATGACAACCCTCACCTCTGATTAGCATTAAATTGTGTTTAAGCATGATAAGTGATTGATTGAGATGGAATCCTAGCTTCATTTCATTAGCATGTTGCTTAATTGCATTTCTATATGTTTGTCATTAGATGATCTGTTTATGTTTTGTCTTCGAATTGCAAATTGAAGGCCTTATCGGCGATCGAATCAGAAATTGATTAGTGTTATATGCTGATTAGGATTTATGTGATTTTATGGTAGCTTTAATTAAAATTTGATTTGGAATGATTAAAATAGAATAAATAAAGTTAAATTACATTAGTTTGCATTTACTACCAAATTGCCATTGAGTGGACTAATGCTAGGCCATTTATTTAGTCTTGATTCATATGTGTTGGCATCATTCTTCATCACTTTCTCTAGACCAAATCGTGAGCAAGAGAGGGAGAGTAGGAGAGCTTTGATTCAACAAGGATTAGCTTGGAAAATTTAGAGGGATTGAAGTAGATTTGCAAAATTGAGCTAACATACTTGGAGTTCAAGACCTAAGGTAGGAAATTCACCATTTTAATCATGAATTTGAGTTATTACATGCATGGTTCATGGAGAATTAGTGATTAGAGTTGGGAATTGGCTTAAAGAGTTAATTTGTGAGTGATTTAATGCATGCATGTCCATATCATTGAGTTTTGAGATCAATTACATCAGAATTTCCACATGCATGTTCATATTATAGTTATGGTCCATGAATTCAGCATGATTTTGAGCTCAAACTTGCATTTGATCATGTTTTAGAGCATTGGAATTCATAAGAACTTATGTATGTTATGTTCTTGCTTAGTTCGTGGACGTTTCTTTGAAATTGTGTTCAATTGTCTCACATTTGGGCTTGATTTTATAAAATGATCTTCAAAACATGTTGTACTATGAGTTTCCAAGTGTTTTCCAGAAAATTGGCTCAAAAGATTGAGTTTTGATGTGTTGAATGCTTGGTTTGAGCTTAGGGAGCAAATCTGGAAAACCCAGAAT